CATTCTCACTTTTTCATCATACTAATTTTTTGTATTTTATATATTATTATACAAAATTCTAAATAAAAGCTAGAATAAATAGACATACAAATAAAAGACATATTGAAATGAATACATACAAGATTTTTGAAGAAAAAAATAACTACAGAGGGAAAAAAAATATATGAATACAAATATATTTCTTAAATAACTATATAGATACATTTGGCATACCTATTGGAATGAATACAAACTAATAAAAAAACTCTAATGAATATAAATAGAATATATTGTGGAATGAATATAATTTTAAAAAGGTAAAAATTTTGGAGAAAAACAAAAGAACAAAGTTTAAATTTTATTTGAAAATGTAACTGATGAGAAAATTAACTGATCCTTACCTTTTTTTGAAATATTTTCTCTCTTGATTTTCTCCATTTTCTTATTAAATAATTATATTCTTTAAATAGAAACAAATAATAAAAACATAAATAAGATACATAACAAACCAAAATTTGATATTTCTACTAAATATTGAAAGTGTTGCTAATGAACCCTCTTAAATGTTAAAATATTGACATTTTAAAAATATTTCCATAAATAAATAGGCTCAATCATATAAGTAAAAACAAATACAACAGTAACGTAATCATCACAAATATTAAGCACACATATTTTGTAATCATAGCTACAAAAATATTTCTCACAAAGAATATTATTTTTAGTTAATATAATCTTATTATCTTCAAAATAAACTTTTTTCCCCACCTTTTTTCAATAATTCCTCGAAAATCAAATTGATTTGGATATCAGGAGCATTGAACACATCACTTAACGCCAAAAGTTTATCAAATGTGAGTTTGAGAACTATTTTTCTTTTTTCAAGTACTTTAATTACCCTTGAGTCACCAAATCAATAAACAATATCTTCTCCTTTTTCAACTTAGGAGTATGACATGATTATTTTTGTTTATACAAATGTATATTGTAGCACCAAAGTCTATCACATAGTTTCTCAATTTGGCCTCAATATTTATTTCTGAAATACCGCAATAATCATATTATCCATTTCAGCCAAACTTATCTTTAGCTTAGTAAAATTGTCATTTCTTCCCAATATTCTTTTACATTGAGGTGCATTTTTCACGAAGGTTTCATAATTATAGCATTGGATTTGCAACCGTATCTATTTACATACTTGTATTTTCTTTATCATAAGCTTCTGACAGAATGACGTTAATAGTAGTAATCAGGATAACACCAACATCAGTATTATCAATAGTTTCAGAACACATATAATTTAAATCAGTTTCTTAGATTTTTGGGAAACAACTGAAATATAACAATAATAATATAACGTAGTATATAGTAATATAGTTGTCCTAAAAATAAGATAAATATTACTACGTTGATATGTAAATAATAGTGCAGAAAATTAATCTTGAGTCTTTGGACAATTTGCAAAAAAGCTATTGCAATGGTGTAAAATATTTTCCCAAAATTAAACAAACATTCCCTATTTTAATTAGAGTATGCACGAATAAGCAAACTAATTAGCATCAATTAATTATTAGAGAGAAAATAAAAAGGAACAAAGCCAAATCTATAATTAACCAAAAGAGAAAGTTATTACACTCTCCGTTTCAAAAGAATGACTCAGATTTCTTTTTAGTCTGTTTCAAAAAGAATGCCTCATTTTCTTTTTTTGACAACCTTTTAACTTTTCACGCGTTATGTTTAAGACCACAAGATTCAAAAGACATTTTGATACAATTAACACAACTTTAATTTGAAATCATAAAATTAAATATTTTTTTTAAAACTTCATTTCAAGTTAAACAAGGTCAATTTTTTAAATTAAACCAGGTCAGTTTTTTTAAAGAAATGAAATATGAAGGAGAGAGAGACCGAGAGTCTAGAGCCTAGAGGGAAAGTAGAGTATAATTTTCTTACAGCATAATACATAAATGTACCCTTTTAAGTTGGTCTTATTTCACATTTATGTCCTACAACTTTGAATATACACAAGTAGACACTTAAACTTGAAGAATTAGACATAAGAGTCCTACGTAGCATAATACATGTTGAACATCACATAAGACAAAAATTACACGTAAAATATCATGTAGAACATGAATGTGTATTTATTTAACTTTATATAAGATTAAGTGTCTACTTATACACACCCAAAATTAAAAGGCATAATAAATATAATTTAAAGTTAAGTTAAGTAACATATTTATGTATTATGTTTTTTCTTACTATTATTCATTCCATTTGAAAGATGATCTAAAAGCTATTTAAAGGAGGAAACTGTTTGGTTTTATTTGCCCTGATTTCTTACCATAAAAAAGGTTTTCCTTTTAGAAAAAAGTTTTGGATTGACTAATTCTTTTTCTGGTAGGAAAAGGTTTAGGACTCTATAAATAGAGGCATGTTCCTTCTAACTTAATCAGCATTCACAATGTAGTCTTAAGGGCTTTGAGAGTTTTTGATAAGAGGGAGAATTTGTGGGTCACAAGCTTGATACGTTATCACTTGTGTGAACCTCCCATGTATTCCGGGTGAATTGGTTGAGGTTGTTTCTCTCTGTATTTTGTACTCTCATATTTTATAGTGGATTGCTCATCTTCTTTATGGACATAGGTCGATTGACCAAACCACGTTAAATCTTTGTGTCTTTTGGTATATTTCTCGTTGTCTTCTTACTCGTTGTCTTTCGAAGTTTGCTTTGCTAGCTTCCGCGTTTACACCTGCTTATTTCCGGTTCTAACAGAAACCAATCAAAAGATGACAAGTGTCAAGACACTTGTCCTCACAAAGCACTTTCAAAATACCAAAACTTCTCTTTCAATTGTCAACTTTTCCAATAAAAATTACTTCTCCAATACACTATATATTTGACTTTGTAAATACACTTCAAAATAAATTCATTTGAAATAAATAGTGATTTACGTAGCATATAAAAAAATAGAGAATATTACTTTTAAAACATTCATAAATAGTTACACTAATAATATGTAGAATATGAAAAACAAATTATTTGTTCTTCCAACAATCTCTTGAATATGAACTTAAGAAGTTGTGTTTGAATTCAACATTTCGCATCAACTTTCATGAAATTTTATACTATGTGCCATATGTAACCAAAATTTTCAATCCAAGAAATACATTTGATTTTTGTAAGCACTTTTCTTTATTTTTAATAGGAGCCATCAGAATTATGAAGTTAATCCTTGAAGCATAATCACTCTTTTCATCTCAAAATTTATTTCTTGTAAGCAAATGACAAATATCTTTAAAAAGATACAGGTAAATTGACATCAAACTAAAAAGTTTCCCAAACTTTAAAAATGAGGGATGACAATGAGGCGGTGCGAGTTGAGCTTAACCGGCAAAATATTTTAACTCATCTTGCTCCACTTCGGATAGCAATGTTTTTAATTTCCAACCTGCCTACCCCGCCCTACACAGATTCGCCGCTCCTGCATAATGCTTTTAATATTTTTTTTTCTAGTTAAGTTTGTCACTAAAAATAAAATTTATAAAAAGGAATTCATTTTTTCATAAAGTTATATTAATTTAATAGTTAAAGACTTTAAAAAATAATTTATAGAAGTCAATTAGGAAACATGTAAGAAATTGTATTTATTTTTATTGAACCATCTTCATTTACCATCTTGAATGTTTTAGTAGCATTAAACAAATTATCTAAATAAATGATGTTTATCACTCTTATAACATGTCAAAAGTTAAAATTAAATTTGAACCCGTATAAAATTGCGTATACCCGCAATCTGCCAAGCTGCACATTAATTTTAAAAAAACTAATTTCAACCCATCCCACATCCCTCCCACCCCGCACAATCTTAAACCCGCTCTACATCCATCCCACCCCATTGTCATCCGCAACTTAAAATTGAAGAAAGATATGTAGGGTTTATAGTATATGGAGTGAGAACATCCATTCAAAATTGTTATCATAGTTAGGAAAAGGCCTAATCCATCGGTGATCCTTTAAACTTGGCACAAACTTTCACTTAGACATTTTAACTGAGCGATGTTTATTTTAGACACCTCATGTAAGATTTCGTTGTCATTTTGACACCTTTTTTATGAATATCGCGCAGTTAAAATATCTAAGTGAAAGTTTGTACCAAGTTTAAGGGATCACCGATGCGTTAGACATTAGGAAAAAAATGAGTCATATGAACCTTCAATTCTTGTTAAAAAATATCAAATATGGATGGATCTTGTCATTGTAGATTGTATATGCTTAAATAAATTGAAGCTAATTATATATTCAAATAATTATGTAAGTTATTTCAAAAAATTTATTAATAACATGCACATAGATGGATCACATTTAATATAAATCCACGTAGCAGTTTCATATATATTCCATTAAAAATTTCACGAATCACATCTTTTTCTTAGCAAAAAATATTAAATCAAATCAAATCACAAGTAAAAAGAAAAAACATACTGTCAATTCAACATGTTTGAAAAATCATGCATCATCTATAAAATAAGAAATGAAATAATAATGCTATACAAAATATGAGAAGCACAGAGTTTAAGTTGTTAAACACAATTATGTATCAATCGATTCATTTCCTCGATTCTTGAAATTTATAATCAATTATGTTTGAGAATTATTATGCAATTTAGTATCTCATAAGTCGCTGTAACGATATAAAAGTTCTCACATGCAAGAGAATTGGAGAACTAACATACATGAGAATTCGATTTAAAGTACAAAAAAAAAGGTTCATTAAATTTTAAAATTGATACGGTAACGAATATATATTTGATAGATTTGTGGATCAACTTTTCCATTTAAAAAAATGTTAATTAGTTAAAAAAATTCTGCATTAATCAATTATTGCCAAGTGTGTTAACTTGCTATCAGTTGACAACCTTATGATACTTTTGCCTTGTTTTAGTATATATATATATATATATATATATATATATATATATATATATATTATCCTTATATATAAGTCAAAAAGAAAAGGACTAACACTGCATTATTTAGTTGTACAACATGTTATCTGAATTATACGTGAAAGAATGAACATTGCATATTGTCATTGTACAACAAGCATTCATATTGTACTGGAGAGGTTTTCTCATTTTTGACCCTTTTTGGCTCAATTTAGTTGGCTCTTACAACATAAATTTCATCTGCATATACTCCAAAGGTCTCATTTGAAGCAACTCCAAATCTCCATCTTCGTCTCCTGCAACTTAGCTCAAGATTGAAACTGGTGAGTTTTTTCATCTTCTTTCTGACATATCTTCTTATTCTCTTCTCTTCTCTTCTCTCGTGTTTATTCTTCTTCTCTCTTATTGTATTTCTGTATTTTTTATTTTCTTATTTTTGGCAAATTCTTTCTCCATTCTTTCTTTGTCCATTTCACAATTTTATTGGTAATGGAAATTCGGTGATTGGGCAATGAAATTGGGTCAATCAGTAAAGAAAATTGTGCAAAAAATGTACTTTTTTATGGTGGATGGGTTCTTTTGTGATGAAGTTAGTTTAAAATTTTGCGCATGCATATCAAAGCTATGTTTGACCTTCAATGTACTGAGGGTGTTTGATAGTATGCCTGATACAACTTGTTTTTCGTTCTTTAATTGTGCATTTATAGATATGTAGTAATTTGTATTCTATATTTTAGAAGTCATTCGTAGTGGTCATACGACTAAAATGATGATTAAAATAAAGGCAACTTTCACATATAGCAAACAAAAAATTCATATTTGTATGCTATAGCAAACTTTGCATAATTGCGCTCCATAGCAAACATAAAACTGTATAATTTGCTATACATATACAATTGTATAATTCGCTGGCCTAAATTGTATAATTCGCTGGCCTATTTCGTTGCAATTGTATAATTTATTTTATATACAGTTGAATCAAATTAAAATGTATGTATATTGCATAATTATAAGTGTATAGCAAGAAGATATATGTTTTTCTCGCTTTATACAAAAACAGAAATACAATATATACACTTCTGTTGTATAAAGCTAGAGAAAATTATATTTCACTGCAATAGTATAATTCGCATTTGTATAATTCGTTGGCCTCTCTGCAATATTTAAAGTAAAATGTTTGTAAATTGTATAATTAAGTGTATAACACGAAGACATACATTTTTGCATGTGTATATACAATTTTCTCTCGCTTTATACAAAACAGAAACAGAATTATACACTTCTGTGTATAAAGCGAGAGAGGCGAGCGAGAATGGAGACTGGCGAGCGAGATTTTTGGGAGAGAGACGCTGGCAAATTTTAGCTAATGTTTGCTATGGAGCACAATTAAATCAAACCCTAGATATTCTATTTAATTTAGGTTATTAGTTTGCTATTATATATACAATTTTCCCTTAAAATTATTAATATATCCACCAACAATAGAAGATGCACATGAGCATTCTACATATAATATAGTATACGAGGAGATTATTCAAAATGCACTCACATGGAACTTTAACTTCTATATCATTCGGAAGAAAATCTACTAAACCTAAAAGGCCACCAATGTTTTCAAGTAAAAGCTATTGAAAGACTTCGCATTACATAACAAGGTTAGTGAAGCATTCACCTCATTGTTAGAACTTAAAATAGCACTTCTGAAGGAGTACAATGAAAAAAAAAACTTTCAAAATAAGAAATCTTCTAGTTTTTAAAATGTCTTGCCCATATATTTGTCCGACTAAATTAAATACTTACTTGATTTTGAAGTTGATACAAATTTTTAGTTTAAGGGTGATGGAGGTCAAGAATGATGACATCATAGTAAAAGTTTGATCTCAAAGTATATTTTCTAATTTCCTGGTGTGATTTAGCTTTTAAATTGAAAAGTTTAAAGGTTCATAGACCTTGGCACGAGTGCTATAATAAAAAGTATATTTCCATGTTATTGGTGTACTATGGTAATAGAAACTTCTCCCTGTGAGTTTACAGGTAGCTGCTTCATGTTCCCCATAAATAAAAAGGACTCAATTATATATGATGGGTGATTTACGTGTTCTATATTTACATTTAGTGGAAATCAATTATCTCTTCTTTCAAACATAAATGATTGTGTCTTGAGGGGACCAACTAATTTTTCAAATCATTATTGTCGTGTAAATATATTGTCACCTGAATGATTCTAATTGAAATAAAGCATCATTGTTGGTAAAATAGAACTTTTGTAAGAATCTATATACGCGAATCAGTTTTCTCGCATGCTCAACTTTATGTCGCTTTATTCGGAGCTAAAACTTTCAAAAATGTCAAAATAACAATACGACCGCCTACTGTAGAAGATACAAATGATCATTGTACCTATGATATAGTATATGAAGAAATCATTCAAAAAGCACTCACTGAAATCCTAACTTCTCTATCCTTCAGAAACAAGACCTACTAAGCCCAAAAGGCCATCAAATGTCTCCCATAAAAACTAATAACAGATAGTATTAAATAAATAGTATTAAATAATATTAGTATTTACTGTGTACTAATCCTAGTCCTATTAGGATTAGTACTCCTTAATCCTAGTCCTATTAGGATTAGTACTCCTTCCTATATCTCCTATATATATCTCCCATGTATTTCCTTATTAGGTTAACACTTCAATACAATCAATATTCCTTCAAAAACTATAGAAATCTCTACATTACACAATAAAGTCAGTAAATATTTTTTAAAAAAAGATGTTCGCCAAAATATGCTCGCCCAACAACAATCCCAACAACAATGAATACTTCATTCATTTATTCTTAATTGCAGGTACAACTCAACTCTAAAATTGTATATATGTTGTGTCTTCAGGCATCTGGCAATTTGTTGTGTTCTCCATGTGAGAATTGGAAAAGGTTAATAGGAAGAAAGAAAACTGACGCAAACGTTAGTACTATATGATAGCCGATAGTTCTTTTTTCCCTCTTCTATAATTCATTGTTTTTGGATTTTACATATTTTTAAAATTTTTCACTAATTTTGAATCAAACAGAGTCTGTTTCATAGATGCAACACAAATATCGACACTATGGAGCACAATTCCAACTACAAAGGAAGAGCAAAAAAAAAGGGCTATCAGAAAAGGAACATCAAGCCAAAGTGATTTTTATCTGTATGTACTGTACAACACAAGTTACATATACCGTGTCCTCAAAACTCTCATTTCAAGCAAGCTCTTTCAACTCTAAATTTGCATCTGTCTCTTGTAACACAGATCTTCTCAAAATTTAAATTGGTAAATTATTCCACCTTCTTTCTGCTTTTCTGTTTCTTCTTTCTTTTTTTAGTGTATTTTTGTTCATGGAGTCTTGTTAAACTTTCTTTACAAGATTTTATTTAAGGAAATAAATCATTTTCCATTCACCTTGGAAAACAAGGTAACATGTGTACTAAGACTAGGACAATTTTGTCTATATTTGGGACAACTGAACTGCTGATGGTTGACATATTGAGTACTTAAGGTGTGATTTTAATCATCTATTCCTTGATCTTTAAGATATTTCATAAAACTTTGTGTGGATCCTCAATCACCAATCCTTGCATCAATATGGGTTGTGCTCGGTAAATGAGAAATCCAACTTTCCAAACTTAATCCATGTTGATCTTTTGATTATTTATTGTTAATGAAATAGATAATGTATATAGAATAACTATCATTATAGGTCCTTTTTCAAGAGTTGAACATATTGCGAGGAAAAAATCATTCTCCTCTTTTTCTTTGTTGATTGGTTATAGTTTGTTTGGAGAATAAGTGATGATGATGTTGATTGGTTTCCTTTTTATACTCTATGATTTTCTTTGCTTTTTGTCACAATTTTATTTCATTAGCTCACTGTGGGAATGATTTGGTTTAGTTGTTTAAGCTGAAGCTCTTTTTTTTAAAGAAGTTATTAGTTCTATTGCAAGTAACAAGTAGATGCATAATAGTTACAAAAGCTTAGTTAGCAAAAGATCAGCGCTCATTTACATTTTCTTTAGCTATATTTTTAATCTTAGCGTGTTTGCTTGATGAAATGCTTCAGAATTGCTAGCTTATATGCGAGTTTTATTGTCTGTTTCTTGATAGATGATTGAAAGATTTACTATATAATTTTTACTTTTACTGTTTTAAAAAAGATTTTTCATATGTTTCTGTTCACGATTTTTTTTGCCATTTTATCCTGATAATAGTCCTTGTTATACTATTTTGACACGATATGAATCTCTTCTCTGTTTTTCTTGTATCGTGTGGTATGTGAGACCTAGTGCAGCTCCTATGCCTGGAGTTCCCCCGTTGGGTCCCCGAAGAATAACTGGTCAAGTCTGCCCCCATCAATGTAGCCCTGTTGTTGGACGTGTTAGAGGTGATTAGAGACCACCAAGAATGATAGGTGGCTATGGTATGTCTAGGGTGAAAGGTGGTGTGTCTGCATGTGGCTTTGGGACTAGGCTGAAATTCACTCTTTTCTCACACAAGTATGTTTCCTGATTTATAACATACTCGAATTCGCTATGTTTTCTGTTTGGTGAGGTTTGTTGTTTACTGTTATGAAGGAATCATAAATCCAACTATTCAAAAACATGAGGTAGTTAACTTTTACAGATCGATAGGTAGTTGATATTCCAAAGCATCTACTTTTTTTTTCATTTTTTGTTTGGAGAATATACTTTGAATGGGTCATTTCCATGTGATTTCTTTGGAGAACTTCAAAGTTTCACCTACTTGGAACTGGACAACAGCTAGCTAACTGGACCAATTCCTTCTGAATTGGATAAGAACCAAAAGTAAGTTAAATGATATGTATAATATTCTGGTAACCAAGATTAAAGCACTGCGACTCTAACAATTCATCAACCTTTAAAATACATCTAAGTTTAAAAATAAACACGACACCACAAATTTGTACCGATAGCATTCAAAATTGTACTACACTATCGTACCCTCTTCACTATTAGATAAACACGTACTACTCTTCCGGTTTTTCATTATTTTACTTTGGTCCTTATATCATTTTTTCATCTATTCCATCATTTTTTGCTTCTCTATTTGTCATTCTCCTATACTCACTTTAGGAAAAGAAGAGACTTTTTGAAATTGAAGGTAATTAGAGAAGAGTGATTCAAGTCCCGCTGGTGCATCAATTTGGTGATGAAAATTCACATTTGACTACTGAATTTGGAGGTAATTTTCATTCTATTTTTTTCTGAGATATTAATCTCTTATTTATTAAAATCAAAATTGTCTTTTACTTTTCATGTGTTTATGGTTTGGAATTAGGAAAATTAGTATACCTATCACTACAAAATGGGTGTTACATGTAAGAACAAGAATAAGGTAAACCTCACCAGAAATCTCATGAGCTTTTGGCGCTCTTTCTTTAATTCATTTTGCAGATATGTGTACTCATTACTATTTTGTCTCAATTTCTTATAATACAGAAACACTTTCAAGCAGCAGTGTAGATAGACGTAAAACTCAATTTTGAAATTTCTAACACTCAATGGTGTATAGTTGACAAGGTAATCACATTTTTAATGAAAAATTCTAAACACAATATAGCTTATGAACTTCTTATTCAACAGAAAAATAAGGAACCCGATATAGGTGTTCGTGATCCTTTATTCTTGATACTACTAGCAGTAGCATCTTCTCTTTTTGTTGGTCACGAGAAGGAATACAAAGATTTTCGGCTGTTAAATTTCAAACTTGAAAAATGATACACGACTTAACGAGGACAGGGATCAGTAAATGGAAATACTATTATTACATGCTTATTGTTCTATTCATTTCCTTCATGAAGATGCATAGTAGACCTTTTGTTCCAATTTCTATGTCAATGAGTTTGTAAATGTGCCTACATCTTGTATAAATAGTGTAATTTTCCACCGAAGCAGTTTGGATGAACCCCCTCGCCCCTTGTTGGCTCCGCCCTTGAGTTGCTTATCCTAATGCTTTGTTACTAAGTAATTTTTTATACATGATCCTGCATTTTAATTTTTTGGATGTGTCAATCTATGTTTTTTTTTATAATAAAACTAAAAACTATCACTTCTTAGTTAGTATTACATTAACGTTCAGAAGTGTGTTGTGTTTTAGCTTTGAAGCTAGTAGACCTAATTTAAGAGACGAGTTGTCTTTAATATTTTATTTTCAACGCTTAGTTATTCAAGCTTCAAGCTTCGAGTTCATTTCTTATGTGAAAAAAGTTGAAAATAGTTTGGATGTTTCTTTTGTGAAAGTAAGGCTAGACTGATTGCATTCATCAAGAATTTTAAGTTTAACTTTAGGAGTGATTTGTTTGTTAATTGAATTTCTTTTATAACAATGTCTTCTTTTGTTAAGGTTGTCGTTTTTGCTCTTTGTTGATTATCAAAGATCTTTCGAGATATAATAGTGATTCCAGAACAAATCTTTGCTCAAGTATGTCCAGGTAGACTACAATTTTTTCTCACGTGGAAGGGCATTAGAACCATTCATTTGTAAGGTATAGATATGATAGTGATAGAATATATGCCTTCACTTAACAAGTAATGGACCAGGTACCTTACTACACTAATGAATAAAATAGAAAGTTAAATGGAGTAAAATCAACACAATGATTTTACGTGGAAACCTCCTTGCTTAAGGGAGTAAAACCACGACCTGTCTCACAGGATTTTCAATCGTTTTCACTAATCTTCAAAAGCAAAAGTAAAACACGATTACACCAAATGTTAGAAAGAGTTGTCAATCTTACAGTTAAGCAATAGTCCTCTATTGCTTAACAAGCCTAAGTAGAAAACAATCTACCCACTAAGCTATCCCTCCTGGACAACCTAGACTTCTAACACAACACACCAATTCCTTTATAGATTCAGGAATGGTTTACAGTTTAAGAACCAGAGAATGTATTCCTAAACAACTAGACGAAAAGCTCCAGAGATTGATGTTGTTCTTGGAATAATTCTGCCTTTGCTTTTTGGTAGCCTTTGCAAGAGTTCTTGAAAAGTTTTTATCAAGTTGCAAAAATTGCCAAAAATGTTTAGGAAAGTGTCTTTTGTATAGACAAGTAACTTTCCTAAACTTCTTTTCCATTGGTTGGAGAAGTCACACTTTCTGATGCCATCGGGAAGTGTGCACCTACTTTCTGTACCGTCTTCAGCTGGCAATCGACTGGCTCGTCATCATGAGAGCCTGGTACCTCTACTAGGTCCCTGGGTTTGTTTCATCTGCAATACTCAAACAAGAAACCTGCAATACTCAGTAAGAACCTGCAATACTTAAGTAAGAAACCCGGTACCTTTATGAGGTCCCTAAGTTTTTCAAATCATCAAAACTACAAATAACATTTTCCCCCTTTTTGATGATGACAAACAATGATCTGAGATCTTCTCCAGGATTGTTCCCCCTGACTGTATATTTCCCCCTGACTGTATATTCCCCCTTACTGTATATTCCCCCTTACTATATATTTCCCCTTTACTTAATTATCATTTAGCTACTCACAGTTTTACTTCCCCCTTTTGGCACCATAAAAAAGATATGCAGTAAACCAGTGATGTCAACATAAATACTGAGCAAGATCAAAGCTAACAAAGCAATCAAACAGTAGAGGAAAAACATTCACAAAGGAAGATAGTCAGAACAGCAAAGGAATAAAGTAACCAACATGCCATCATAACATAAACACATTAAAAACAAACTGAAATATTCATCAACACAGTGATAAGCCACACAAAAAAAATGACACAGGGGAGGATTGATAAATAGGCTAGGAAGAGGGCGGAGGATGAGACAGGGACTGGATAACAAGAGTGAGTCGTGCATTGGCAGCATCATTATCCTTGATGGTCTTTTCTTGCAGGGCAGTTATCTTCGCCTTCAACTCAGCATTCTCTTTCTCCAGAGCTTGAACCACTGAAGAACCAGGTTCCTCACTCTGTGCAGTAAGCAGTTCTGCTTTGAGTATAACAATTTCTGCCTCTTTACCACTCAACCGCACAGTGAGCTCTTCAATCTCGTGTTTAAGCTGATCCTGGTCCTCAATAAGTTGAGCAATCTTGCTCTTTGGATAGTCTTTTCCTTCAATGCATTCACACTAAACCAAGGTATTCTCAGAGATAAGTCTGTTTAACTGTCCCAACCATTCCAATACTGAGAGGAATTCGAAAATGCTTGAATACCTCCGTGAGTAAGTATCTGTAACCCATTCCATGAACACCTTTCCTCTCAATGACGGTTTTGTGAATGTGCTCAATTATTAGACTAGGGAGGCTCAGGGCTTCAAAGCTACACAACATCTCGATCACATACATATCAGCAGCAGTTGCAACGGTCCTCTTTTCTGTGCGAGGAAGGAGCACCTTGTTGATGAGCTCAAAGACCAGCTTATACTCACTCTTCATGATTTTCTTATAAATCCCAGCAACCTTAGTTGTGGGTGTCTTCGAAATCATAGAAGCAAACTCAGAAGAGCAAGTTTTGCCCAGCACAAATCGGGTCCCCTCTTCAGGCACCCTGAGAATTTTGCTCAACACTTTCTCATCCAAAGATATGGCAATATCGTTTACCCGTGTGAGGATGCTACCACTTTCCATGAATTGGACATTGTAGTAAAATTCACGAACTTCTTCTTCATGGAGGATGGGGGATTTCTTGTCGAACAAGTGGAGCCAAGATTGAATCTCCACCATGTCGTGCAGAGGATCCATGCCAGGAAGAGTTATAATGCCCATATCAAAAACTCTTCCTACTAGGACTGCTTGTTTCCTCAGGTTGTCAACTACCTTCTGCATGTTGACATTCTCAACTCTCCTTGCTTGGGAACCAGGTCCCTGTGACCGCTTTCTCTTTTTCTCAGATCTCTTCCCTTTTGACTGTGATTTTTTAACCTTCCTTGTAGCCCTTTCCCTTTTCTTCTCTGACTTCTTTTTCTTATTTTTCTTTTCCACTTCTTCTCCAGACAACTCAACCAATTTTGCCTCAGGTATTCTAAAATTTGATACCTTGAAGGTTCTTGCACTTCTAACTGCAGCAGTAGAACAAGCATTTGCCTTCAAAGCATCAGCCATCAACTTTTGTGCAACAGACCTTGTAGTAGGTCGTCTCCTAGGGTCCTCCTCTACAACCTTTTCCTTCCCTTTTCTAGATCCCACCCCTTCTCTTCTCTCAACCTTCCATTTTAATGGCTCCTCCTCACTTGCAGAGTTAGAGGAAGAGGAAGAAGAGTACCTTCCTAAATCAGGGGTTTTATGAAAAATAGGTTGAGTAGGTCTTACCTCTTCCCTCTCCAGGACTTCAGTATGCTCTGCCCTTGCTTCTTCCCGCATCATGGCCAGGCTTTCAATCACAAGTTCTTCACTCGCTGCAAGTATGTTAGACTTGGACGCCCTATGTTTTGGTAGATCCCCTTCAAACATATTATCAGGCAACATGTCTTGAAACGGACCAGGTCCAGTAGGCAGTGCAAAAGTATTTAGATCTATGGCAAAAAAAGGGTTATCAGGAGTGTCTTGTTGAGGACTGGAAGGGCGAGGAAGTCTGGCTTGTGTAGTGGTTGGAGAATAGAAGTCAAGGGGCTCTATTTCCTGAGAGCATTCAACATTTGTTTAGAAGAAGATGAAGTGGAAGACATGATTGTTATACTGGAAGGTTTCTTTGAACAACGAAGAGAAGAAGAAGAAGACAGATTTTGCCTTTGAATTTTGATAAAAGAAATGGATGAGAGTTCCGAAAAGAAGAAAGACTTTTTAAAAGGAGTGAAAAGGTTCCAGGTCCTGTGCTTGGATGCGTCGTTTGAGGGAGAAACGATGGGACTGATCGGTCAAAGTAACCGATGACTGACACGTGGCATTTTCAACGGTCAAATTTTTCAGTTTAAATTTAATGTATAAATGTTAACCTGGACAGGTACCATGGTAGAGTTTAACTTCATTCCTTAATTGTTCTAGTTGCTTCTTTTGCTGAGCAGGTCCCTACAGAGAGTATACTGATATACCGTTGTTTCACGGTATGATTAATACCTTTTCCTTAAGTTTATTGTATCCGAAAGCCTTTTTGTGCTAATTTTGATATAAGTTTTTCTTTGTTTTGCAGGAAATCTGTCTAAAACTGAATGCGGAGATTTTGAGCGAAAAATGCAGAAGAGACCACCTACGGAGCTTATGACGGTCCGTCGTGCTTGTGACGGTCCGTAGGTGGCAGCGTAGAGAAGCTGCTGAAGGAAGATGGGGAAGTCTGACCAAGTGTGGGATTACGAAGCTTGTGATGGTCAGTCATGTATATGACGGTCCGTTCTGCAGGTTCGTCACGAAGATCAGAGAAGTGATCCCAGTACCCAGATTCCAAGAGTTGAAGTATTTGGTAAAGAAGACCCTCGATGGACCTTCGTGCCTGTGACGATCCGTCACAATTTCCGTCGAGGGGAATGAAGAAAGCAGCAGAAGAATTGCACCAAGTATGGGGCGACGGAGCCCACGACGGTCCGTCATGACCACGATGTTCCGTCGCGTGGTCCGTCAACCCAGCCGCGTTTTGACAGATTTCCAGTAATTAGAATCCTTGTTTAATTAGGTTTTTATTTTTTTATAAATACTTCGAAAAACCTCGTTTTGGAGGTTAGACTCTGGGAGATTTAACATCATATTATTAGACTTTGTTTTTCTGAGTTTTTGATTATTGGAGATTCTTACAAGTAACTCTTGTTGATTAATCAAGCAAATTTTCAGACTTTATTCTTTCTCATTAAAGTAAGTACATGAATTCTTGTTTAATATATTTGAATATTGTGTTTATGTCTATGAGGAACTAAACTCTATAACTAGGGTTGTGGGAACCATAGGCAAATAATGAGATAAACCCTAGCTAAAATAACAATTCTAGAATAGTGTCTTGCATGTATTAATAATTCTTTCGCTTAGAAGTCTTTTTAACGGATGATCAACGTTACAACTCGCCTTAATGCTACTTGCCGGACCAAGGAGGTAGATAATAGGAAAAGAATTATTAACATAGATTTAGTGTATACTATCTAATAGGCTAGTATTGATTGGTACGAGGTAATAACTGAGTCAAATATCGAATATGATGCTTAATATGAGGTAAGGATAAGGGTTAGGAAAGCAACACACGTAGCCGGACCAAGGTGCGGAGTGAGATTTTCTAGATGCCGGACCAAGGATTTAGAAATACATAACTTATCACTTTGCATGCAAGATACTAGGAAAGAATTGTTATAGCTAGAATTATCAAGTTATGAACCTGTGGGGAACACGTAAACCCTAGTTACTTTGATTACTTGATTAAAACTCAACATTAAAAGCTGTTAAGTGTCTCTGTCAAGTTCGTTAGTTATTTTTATTTTATTAGGAAGTACAAAACCCCCCTTTTATGCTTTTACTTTTTAAGAAAGTCATCAACCGAACAATAGTAATTACAAGTTGGAGTTAAGTCTAGACTATTTTCCTAGTGGGAACGATCCCAACCTCACTAGTTGGGTTATTTACTTGACGCGACCGCTTTACTTCTCATTTGAGAAGTAAGTTTGAGCGTATCAAATTTTGGCGCCGCTGCCGGGGAACTTAGCTTTTAGATTAACTTGAACTTCTTACTATAGTTTAGTTGATATTTTCTGGATTTTACTTTGTTTTATTGTTTTTGATTCCTTTTCAGAATTATCCTCCTTGTATGCCAAATACACGGAAAGGAAGAGAACCGTTGTTCCCCTACGATCACGAGCTAGAACGTACACTGCGAAACATGAATCGTAACTTGGGAATCAATGATGAGGATCCAAACCAGAACATCCCAGCTCCGGCTGATGTTCATGGTCAGATGTTACCCGATGCTCCGGGTGAACATCAACAGAGGGGACAGAATCCCGCTCCACGGCCCCAAGCATACTACAGAGGCTATGATAAAATAGCAGATTCAGATGGGCCACTGGTTTTGCCTCTACTACCTACAGGCCACACTTTTGTGGTAACTAGTAGTCTGATGCAAATGCTCACTGCCAGAGGTTTGTTTTCAGGGCTACCTTCTGAGGATCCACATGCCCATATAGCTAAGGTAAGGGCAGTGTGTAAGAGTTGTGTGGGGAGGCCTGATTTGGATCTAGATGTAATAGGTCTCAGAGTGTTTCCTCTCTCACTGACGGGAGAGGCTGCTATGTGGTTTACTAAACTCCCATACAACTCCATTTTCACTTGGAACCAACTACGGGATGTCTTCTTAGCACACTACTATCCGATCTCCAAGAAATTAAACCACAAAGACAGGGTGAATGATTTTGTGGCACTACCAGGAGAGTCAGTTAGTAGTTCTTGGGATAGATTCACCTCATTCTTGAGAAGTGTCCCAAATCACCGTATTGATGATGAGTCACTAAAGGAATACTTCTATAGGGGACAAGATGATAACAATAAAGCGGTGTTGGACACTATAGCAGGTGGATCTTATGGAGAATGCCCTTATGCTGAGATTGCTGAGAAATTAGAGAAAATCTCCCGTAACAACAAAGCTTGGAGTACTAGGAAGTCCGATACAGGGAGAAACACCTTCGCAGTGCAGTCCACTCACAACCCAGCCACAGATGATATTCGGGAAGAAATGGCTCAGATGAGAACTGAGCTTGGGTTGGTACTAAAACATGTCACTGGGGTGCAAAAAAGATTAATGCAGTCAACTACTTGGCTAAACCGCCACCCCCTAACAGTGAATGTTACTATGAATAGGATTCCTATGCAGTCAATGAACAAATGGGGGGTTTCCGACCAAGCGCCCAAGGCTCAAATCAGGATAATTGGCGCCAAGGTCAAGGTAACCACGATCGGAACTATGGTAACTACAACCGTGAGGGTCATTATGTCCGAGATGGTAACTAAAACCGTGACAACAACTTCAACAGGAGTAACTATGGTAATAGAAACGACAGGAGTGGACCCTATGTTCCTCCTCAAAATCGTGAAGTGGTGGAGATAGTATGGCGCGAGTTGAGGATATGTTGCACAAAATGATGAGGAGGTTCGATGCTAGTGATGAGCACATTAAAGAATTAAGAGGTGAGTTAGCTAGTATCGGGCAAAAAGTGGACACACATGCAATTTCGATTAAATAGATCGAATTGCAAGTGGCCCAATTATCTGCGACAGTGAACACACGGCAACCGGGCACTCTTCCTAGCAACACTGTCCAAAATCCAAAGAATGATGCACACTGTATGGCAATTACTACTCGGGGTGGTAGGCAAACCATTGACCCACCCATGCCATCTGCTGACAAAAATGTAAGAAAGGATAATGATAAGGTGGTAAAGGGTAGTGGTGAAACAGATGAAAGTAATGGAACAGATGCAGAAGTACCTATCAAGGTAATCCCCATGCCTAGGCCACCACCACCCTTCCCTCAGAGATTAGTGAAAAAGACTGAGGATGGTAAATACCGGCGCTTCATAACAATGTTGAAGCAGCTCTCTATCAATGTCCCTTTGGTAGAAGCTCTAGAACAAATGCCCGGTTATGCCAAATTTATGAAAGATCTGGTCACCAAGAAAAGATCGGTCACGTTTGAGGATGATGATAGATTGCAACATTGTAGTGCTATCGCTACAAGATCCCTAGTACAAAAGAAAGAAGATCCGGGTGCGTTCACTATTCCTTGCACAGTTGGGTCATTACATTTTGCGAAAGCATTATGTGATTTGGGGGCAAGCATAAATCTAATGCCCCTCTCAATTTACAAGAAGTTGGGTTTGGGGGATCCAAAACCCACTGCGATGCGGCTACTGATGGCCGATCGGACTGTGAAAAAGCCCATAGGGATACTCCATGATGTGTTAGTAAAAGTGGAGTCATTCATCTTTCCAGCAGATTTTGTGATTCTTGATTACGAAGTCGATTTCGAGGTGCCCATTATTCTTGGGAGGCCATTTCTTGCTACAGGTAGAGCCTTAGTTGACATGGAGAAGGGACAGATGACATTTCGGTTGAATAATGAAGAAGCAACCTTCAACATTTGTAGGACCATAAGGCAGAGTGGTGAGCTCCAATCGGTATCTGCCATATCCCACAAAGAAAAGATGAAGAAGGGGACTGAACAAAAATTTGCAAAACAAGAGTTCGTGGTTGGGGATTTGGTACTTGTAGACAGTTCCGGGGTGCCTTGTCTTCCAGGTAGGCTCAAGTCCAAATGGACTGGCCCTTACTTGATTACCCAAATATTCTCTCATGGGGCAGTTGAGTTAAAAGCCAAGGAGGGAGTGCGGTTTAAGAAGAATAGAGATAGAATAAAACTCTATTTTGGGCATAAAGCATCGGGGAATAAAGTTATAGAGGCATGCCATCTTGATGAAGTCTGAGTAATCAAGTGGCCCCAGTCGTGCCGCGACGTTAAATCTGGCGCTTGTTGGGAGGCAACCCAATACTTATCGTTTTTTTTATAATGGTAGCATTTTTCTATAAATGGGTTTTAAATTTGCAGGCACATCACCAGGAAATTCTGCAGAAAACTACTCCGCAGTAGCCACTGACGGATACAACGACGGACCGTCGCGAGTAAAACGAACCGTCGTATGCACCGTCACACCAGGTACTATCGACTATGGCACCCAAGCAAGACCGCACTTATGCACGCGGGCGATCTAAGTCTGTCGCCCCGTCTGCACGCTTGATCATCAGGTCTGATGATGAGCGGGACCCTGAATACATGCCCCCAGGCACCTCCGCTCCTTCCCGTGCTACACGTGCCCCTAGAGCCACACCCAAGACGGTGGCGTCCGGCGTAGTCACTGCCTCCCAGTCTGATGAGGAGCGCACACTAACCAGCACACCCTCTGGGTCGGCCACAAACGAGGAAGGAGCATCTGGCTCCTTGGGAGCATCCTGGTCCGAGGAAGCTTCAGGATCTGCTGAGGTTCCCGCACCCGCCACTGCTACAGCGTCGGCCTCGTCTGATGAGGCTGACAGTTCAGACTTCACATCCGGCGCACTAGCCCCGGTCCCCACACCAGCCTCTGACCAGCCAAACCGGTGGTGCGTTGAAGGCCAGTTTCAGGTTTACTCCGACCCGAAGTTCTTGACCGATAAAGGAGTAATGACTCGAACACTCACCCTGGAGCGGCGGGTACTTACAGGGAGTCTCCCCTCGATGCCG